GGTTGATGTTTTGATGCTCCCATACAGTTGATACGTTAACATTTGAATACCATTTTCTTTCTCCGTTTTCTTTTTGTTTGTTGAAAAGTCAAATCAAGCTAGGCTTGAATGATATCCTCTTTTCTCTCTCGTTATTACAAATAATAATACGATTTGGTCCCAAAAGGCTTGCCATCCCTCCATGAGGAAAATAGGTAATGTAGCACATATTATTTGTGTAAGTAGAGTAAGCCTCTTTGTTATTTTTCCTGATTTATTTGTGTCTTATTTTTTAAATGTTTTGTATCTAGATGCCTCTCCATAATACTTTCTCTCTTCTGCCGCTTGACATGACTAGGTATTTCCATTGTAGTGTACATGTGGTAGAGATGCATCCGGTGGCTAGGGTTGAGGGGCAAAGATGTATATCATATGTGTAGATGTTATGCATTCAAGCCTGTTTGTTCAGGCATGATCCTTAAGGGTAGGAGCCGAAGTGATTAAAGCAGACGTGGGCTGATGGATGTCTGCCAATGTGCATATCCTTTATTTTTCCATCTCTCATAGGAACAAGATGTGGACAATTGCTCTCTGTAAGAATGTAAAGACTTCACTTGATAAGGAAGGATTAAAATCAATGTCCACAAACTAGGAGTCCTAAAAAAGTCTTGATTTGGAGACGCATTGGAGTCTTATTGTACTTTACCTTGACAGCCTGCAATGTGTTTTCACAAAGAATATTGAAAGCCCAACATATCTAATGATTTCCATTTTGTACACCAAGATTTCCACCATTGGCCATTCCAAATCATAGAGGTTTCTTTTTTAAATGCTTTTCAAAAAAGAGACCTGAACTTCTTTGAAAACCTTTATCTCCTGTAAATACATAAATGTGTAACCCAAACTCCCAAATGTAGCATTTAACCAGAGTACCTGTATTACTATGTTCAAGGGAACTTGTGGTTTTCCAACATTCTCTTTGCGGTAATCTATACACACTTTCCGCATATTAATGTCCTTGCATTTCAGTAGCTTCAACACGAGTCTTCGTCTGAACAGTCTGGTTAAATGTGTTTCATGGTTATCACTAGCACAGAAGAACTTATCATTGAAAAATACCACCATTCTATTTCTGAATATTGTATGGTTCTGTATTTCATTTTTCACACTGAATTATGTATGTGTACCGCGTTGGGGTGGTTTCAGTGCACTCCCAGTCGAGACTCCATATTGTTAGAATCCATTTAGAAGTCATGATCCAACACACAGCTCTGTTTTACACCAACTAAAGCTGGAGAACAATTTGTAGCAACAAATGGTCCAAACTTCTTTGATGGGTTTTTGACAGATTTTTAGGATATGTAGGGTGTAGCAAATGTACCAGAGCATATTTCAACTTTTCCTGTCCTCCCTCCTTTCTTACTTCCCTCCCTGAGTGTTTCAACATTTACCAAATACTCCTCCCCACAGACGGGGCACTGTATGACATATGGCCATCCATAACTCAAGATGATTTGAATACACATTCCTCTGAGATGCCATTTTTTACGGTCATAAATCCAATTTGAAAACTCCAGCTTCTTGAGCTCTTGATGCCTCCAGAATTATTCTTGGGCTTAACTTTTTCGATGTACACTAATGTTAGAAATGCTGAAGCTTTGATTGAAGAGTATGACGTTTCAGGAACCGTAATCATGCTGGTTGTTAATGGATTCCTACAATGATTTTGGGGTTTTACCAAAAGATGTTTCAGGCTAGGCATTTCTGACTGACTGGAATGTAACAGTTCATATAATGTTTGAACGTGCAATGATGATGATTAATAGTAATATGCTCTTATGAAGTTCATATTTTAAACAGAAAATATAGTTCAACTGAAAACTGCTTAGAATTTAAGATTTAGATTTACAGTGGTTTGTGTTCCTATTCCGTCTGTATTAATAACATAATAGGGAGGGCTGGAGCCACATCGTTAGTAATGTCCTGGGTGTGTCCATCCATCAGATGCGTCCATGGGCAGAACATCTGACAGCGGGCCCCTGGGCACAGACCCCCCCCACCCCAAGGATCAGGACAAACAGACGTTGTTCATTTGGGTCTTTGTTGTTGCCTTGTGTTTCTTTGTATGTGTTTTGACCCTTTTCATAGTATCTTTGTGTATATTTGCAGCCCTTTGTACTTTTTGTAGGTGATTTTGATCTCTGATGTTGTTTTGACCCTTCTCATTGTCTGCGTTCCATCCCCCTGCAATTCTTTTGGTCTCTTTTTTAGTCATATTTGTGTCTTTGGAGTTGCCTTTTGGGTCTTTGTAGACATTTTATTTTGTAGTTGATTTATGTGTTTGTGTGTTAGTCCATTTCTTTGTTGTTGTGAGTGCCTTTGTAGTTTGTTTGGTCCCTTAAGTCATGTTGTGTCTCTTATGTCACTCTTTGTAGTGAACTACCTTTTTCTTTGTAGTATTTCTTTGTTGCTGTTTTGCCCTTTTTCATCATTTCGTCATTTGGATGTAATTTCTGTTCTATTTGGTCCCTACTGACCGCCAGAGGCGGTGCTTTAGCACTGGACATGTCCATTGCGCGCATGCGTAGCTCGAGTACCAATACCACGTGACACCGGCTACATATGCCGGTGTCGTCAGAGGATCTGTTCCTTTCATCTTCTCGCTGCGCGAGAGTACCATGGCTCCATTCTTGTAACCTACAGCGTTTCGGTTGGAACGTTTGGCTAACATCCTGTACTGTTAAGCTTCATCATTTAACTCAGGCAGTGCTCCCGCCCCCGGTAACATATTGTTTTGAGTGTTAGCAGCAGCCGCTTGGCTAACATCTGGGGTGTTCTGTTGAGCTTCATTGTTTTTTTCAAAATCTTTTTATTGGCTTTTTGACAGACATCACAATGGCAATACAGTAGGTACACATGTAGAGAAGATGGTTTGTAGGAACATTAAATAGTTACCTCACCCCTCCCTCCCTTACCCACCCACCCCCCACCCTCACCCCTATGGGCTATGATCACATTATAAACAAGACATCAATCAAAAAGTTACAAAACATAAAACACCAGCATAAAAAAAATTAAAAAAAGAGGGGTAGAAATGACATGAAATACAAAGACCAATAACTGAAAATTACATAAAAATACAGGTGCTTCTTCATGTTAATAGTCAGTACAAATAAATACCAGGGAAATAACGAGCTTCATTGTTTAACTCAACCAGTGAAGGCAGTGTTCTCGCTCCCGCTCCTGGTAGACGTGCTGCTTGATTCTAGCAGCAGCCGTCTGGCTAAACTGTCCTGTTAAGTTTCTTTATTTAATCCAGCTAGGTGAAGGCAGTGCCACTGGCGGCACATATCAGACCCGGGCCGGGGGGCGGGGCCACATGACCGGGCCCTTTAAACCCAATAAAGCTTGACAAAAATATCGGGAGTCCGGGGTGGTAATCTGACGCTCGTGCGTAAAAAGTCGCTCAGTCAGTAAGATTACAATTTAAAACAATGTTGGAAAGAAAAGTAACTAAAGAAAAAGGTGTAATATTTAAAGGGATAGTGGAAATCCGCGAATTTTGGGTTTAACTTATGTATTTTTATTAAAAAGAAGCATATTAAACAATTTTTTTTAATTTCATCCGCCTAGTTTCATTTTATTTTCAATTTTACTGCGCCCTCTCAATGAAACGAAATACTTCGGGAATCGTCGGGAATCTTCGGGTGATGACGAGAGCATAGGAAGACGGGCACAAACAATGGCGGACATTCAATAGCATTTGCATGTGAATAGCCGACCTTTATTATGGTGAATAGATGTGTTTTGTATGGCTGTAGTGCGACAGAAAAATTCTACGCGACACAACGACATTGGATTAACCTTGAGATGCGTTTTTATTCCGTTGAACACAACTTTTGATCACAAATCAAAAAAGGTAAGACGTAATTATTGTAATATTTTTGGAACCGGATGTTGTTTACTTTCTCTTTTCTGGCTGATAGCTCCAGGAATTCGAGGTCTTACAGTGATGACATTACATCTGTGGAGTCTCAGCTTTAAATCGTATATCTTGTTTGTGCAGTTAAGATAGTAATAAGGGCATTTCTACCGTGTGTTGTGTGTAAAAAAGCGTTAGCATTAGTTAGCATTGTTTCGCTCAATGCTAATTCAAAGGCTTGGTATTACTCTTGTGTTTTTTCTAGCTAACAATTGTTCTTATTGTCAGTTAGCGGAGTTTCTTACCTTTAAAAGGGTATGAAACATTAATAGTTTCATAAATGTTAAGAAGCCCTGAGACATGTGAGAGAAAAAAAACTGTGGGAGGGGTCCACTGGGGGGACCTTCGGCCTTAACTGGTTAACAATGATTAATATTTGTAAAGGCTACAGGTGATCTTAAGATGCGTGAGCTATGCTTAGGGACCTACCAGTCAAGATTATTTGTGCGTAGGGGTGCATCATCTGGCGCCTGGTCCTGGTCATCCTCGCCATTGCCCATGCCGTGAACCATCACCTCGGGCTCGGGCTCGAACAAATAAGGACGTAATGGTCCATCTTCTGGCTCAATATTGTCACCATCGTCGCTTACTGAACCGGATTCAGATTCAGTTCCTAAAACGACATTTTCGTAGGAAAGCCGAGAGGATGTTTCTGACTCGCTATCATCACTGGATACCTCGTACAATCCTTCTTCTTTGTCTGGTATATTTGCCCTTCCACGTTCATTCTGCATAGACGCCATGGTTTGTTATCGTATCGTCTTCCTGAGTTTTCGTCACTTCCGGTTTGGCTGAGTCGAACATTTCGTTTCTAAAAAACTTCGGGGAAGCTGCAATAAAAAGTGCTTCTAACATGCGTAAGGCAATTATTATATTTTTTTAAATCAGGTGTGATTGTTTTGGTACGTAATTATGCTTGTATATAAGTTAAAACGAAACTATTTGAGGTTCCATTTCCACTATCTCTTTAAGATTTCGTTTTTACAAAGGGTATAGAAACGAAATATATAACAGAGATAATAACGATATAACATGACATAAAGTCCAACAAACCACAAGGACAATGAAAACATAGCCTAATAAAATGACTACATTTCTGACACACCATTCACCATGGACAGCCACCATGAGAGCAGAGCAGTGTAAAATTGGCACGGCGGCCCATACATTCACGTACAAGTAGGCTACTGTACAAATTAAATTTGAAGTGTACTCACCACTACTTGAAGGGTACTCGGCGAGCCTTGCGCTCCGCGAACTTGTCCACAATACGCTGTATGTCCAATTTCTTGGCTCGGTCACTTTCGATGGACAGCAAGAACAGTCCACTCAGTCTCTCCTGTCCCATCGTGCTCCTCAAATAGTTTTTGATGAGTTTTAATTTGGAGAAAGAGCGCTCGGCGGTTGCCACGGTGACAGGAAGAGTCAGAAATAAGATGAAGGCTGTGCAAACCTCACTGAATGTAGATGTTACTGCTGGGTTGTAAACAATGAGCATTTTTACCAGATCCGCGACAGATTTTAGTTTTTGTATTTGGTCCCTGAAACAGGTTCTGAAAGAAAGCAGCTGGCCAGGGAAGCTGGCGGCGATGTCCCGACTGTAGTGCTCTCTAAGCCGCTGAGCAGCTTGGTGTAAATCCTCATCCTTTGCTTGCAGTAGTGTGTTGGGGTGAATTGCCTCAAACATGTTCACAGTTTCATTTAAACTGGTGAATCTTTGGGACAGTTGCTGGATGATTATATCGAGACATGCATTGAAAACGGTCACCCGAAAGTTGCTCTCTGCGTCAGTGAGGCGGCTGTCTTCAGAAAGTTCATCAAAGTGTCTCTTAACTTTCCTGGCCCTGGTTGTTTCAAACTGTGTTTGACTTCCCCATTTAGTAGCCAGGGCAAGAGTGTCCGGTACTTCTTCACCTTGCGGCGCAGCCAGTAAGGAGCCGGAGGGGGAGGGTTGCGGCTGGTCAAGCGTCAGGCCTGGCTCTCCTCTAGACGAGCAGCTAGCAGCTAGCAGCTGCTGAGTCGTCCCTATTATCATCATCACTACAGCCGAGAGACAGAAAAGGAAATAAGCTAGGCGGCCGAGCTACACGAAGTAACAACAACCATATGATATCAACATTTACCACAAACTCACATTTTCTTGTTGACAGTGTGTGGCCGTGATTGTAGCCTACCTGTAAATCTGGCTAACCCCCACTAACGTTGTTGGCGGGCTGGGGCTCGGGGATGAAACACGGCTGGCGAAAAAAATATCCATCGAGCTTGGACAATTTGGCTTTTCCTTGGTCCTCCTTTTTTATCTTTTTCTTTGCATTTTGTAGCTCCACTTTTGTGTTTATAACTGCTCATGCTTAGGCAGTGCTCTGTTGAATGACAAGTGATTGATGATGACGTTGACGTTCATTTACGTATGGTGTTGATGGACGGCTGTTGATGACGATTTTACCCAAAATACATTTGGAGACAATAGAAGGGATTCACTTGCAATTTTTCATGTTTTAATGTTAAATGTGAGTGTGAAAATAGCAGCACAAGTTCAACTCATATTATAGGCTACAATGCTTTATACCTAATATGACCACGAACGTCAGTGCACTCAGTGGCGCGAGGCAGCAGGGCCCGCCCGAATATCTCGGGGGCGGAGCCTGCTGCCTCGGCGACGGGCCCCCATTGGGTCCCGACCGTCCAGGGCCCGGGGAGCCCTGCCCCTACAGCCCCCCCTGAAGCCCCGCCCCTGGGCAGTGCTCCCGCTCCCTCTGCCGGTAACGTGGGTGTAGTTACATCCCTCTTTGTGTTCGGCGAGTAGGAGCGTTGCTCTACTCTTTCCGTTCAGCAGGTAGCCGGTGAAGGCGTTGTGTTCTCGCACCCGCTCCCGGCTACGCTGCATCTGGCTACCTACAGACTGGCTCATTCATGTAGCGCCTGTATGGCTTCTCTTGAGAGCCCGAGGACGGCCATGACCGCATGACCTTTGTTTGCCGCACCTCTGCTTGAGGATGCCATGTCGCTAGTGGCTCCGGCTACACCCCCTGAGTTTAATAACCCCAGAGGAGGCTTCCCACTCCTCTGCTCAGAGCTCTCTGCAGGGCATGGAGGACGCCTCCATGGCAGCCATTATTTGTGCGGCCCTGGCACGCTTGCAGCCTCAGGTTCCGCAGGCCGACTCGGCTCAGGCTAGCGCCTTCTTCAGGCATAGCCCTGCCCCTTTCACTCCCACTGTTCCTCCTTCAGAGGAGCACCTGAGGGAGCTCCATGCATGCTGGAGAGACACCAGGGCCCTCTCCCACTCTGCTGGTCGTGGGCGTCTTCTGGCACATTCTCCAGGTTTTATCGGGTTAATGTCGCCACTCCCCATCCGTTGGGCGTGGGCCTTTTGCCGAGCTCCCTGCTTCGAGCTAGGTGAGTAAGGGCTTGGATTCTTCATGACATGGTTGGTATAAGTCATCCAGTGCTAAAGCACCACCTCTGGCGGTCAGTAGGGACCAAATAGAACGATAGGTACGTCTGTAACTACGGTTCTATGAGTCCCGGATGACCGCCAGAGTATCCTGTCACTCAGAATTCTTGTGAGAAGATTCTGGGAACAGATCCTCTGACGACACCGGCATATGTAACCGGTGTCACGTGGGTCACAGGTGACTTTGTTGTTATTGGTACTCGAGCTGCGCATGCGCGCGATGGACATATCCAGTGCTAAAGCACCGGGACTCATAGAACCGTAGTTACAGACGTAACTCTCGTTGTAGCTTTTTGGGAATTTATTTGTAGTCGTTTTGTTTTCTTTATAGTCTTTTTGAGTGACTTTTTCGTCGTTTTATGTTTCTTTTATGTCATTCTGAGCCTCTTCCTTGTTGGTACGTGTCTCTTTGAATTATATTTTGTAGATGTCCTGACACTTTGTTCATTTAGTAATCCATCCATATATAGGGCCTGCATCACACTACCTTTAGTGCCAAAAAACGTGTGTCTTTTGCATGTTTTTTTAGGCTTGAAACAATTCATTTAGCAGAGGATAGAGTTTTCTCATAGACATATTGCTGAGGATATCCAGGAAAAGGAGATATCACCTAATCAGATCTGTCAGGTGTGGACGTTCGATATAATGGGCTGTCTTCAAAAAGCTATCCTCGTATCGATACTTTAAATCAGTCATGGGCAAACTAAGGCCCGCGGGCCATATACGGCCCGTTGGGCTTTTGAATCCGGCCCGCCGAATATTGGTGCAAAATTGTCCAATTTATAGTAAAGACCGCATTAATTTTGTCTTTTTCCTGCAATACCCGGCATTTCAGTTGATCCCACTAAATGGCGCACTCTAGACACAATTGACCTTTGCTGGAGTCTGGTCTATTCTCTCAGCTGGCCCCATTCGGCAACCCGGCAAGATCCAAGAACCAAATACGTTACGCTTACATTGTAGGGGGTCGAGATTAACCTGAGCAATAACAGTTCATGGCGAGTACGGCGAATACAAGTTGTAACAAGCAGTAGCGCTGAGCAAAGTGACTAGAACGCGACTACACACTAATAAAAAACACTTATATAAAGTCAGGCAACACTAACCAGGCTGAGTGTGATTCTGTTTATTTGACCTTACTTTAATAACTCCGTTCACTGTTATTGACCATTGTGAAGAGGCAGACGTTTTCCTGTTGTGTTGTATTATTGCAGCTATCGGATGCAATCAATACATGGGCTACATGTGGCCATCACAAGTAAAATCATAACGAAAACTGGGCCGGTAAAATATGCGTGTAGAAAACGGCTTATGCCACAATAGGATAGCAACAAGCAGTCAAGATAGTCTGATTAGCTTTGGTTGCTATGCTAACATCACCTGCAGAATGCCAGAGAAACTTTCATAACAGCGTTGTGATGCCAAACAGCTTTCAAACTAAAACACATTCACTTATGGGGATGGGGGATATTTATCAGCTGCTTGTGTGACAGTCAGACAATGAAAACTTTACAGCGGCCGCTGCCGCGAGTTAACGGGAAAATAAACTCCGGTAGACGAGCAGCACAGCAGCGGGCAGTAATGCAGCTGAACCACATTAATAAACAATGCACCACGGCACTCTGGAGAAAGGTATAAGGTTTCAGAAGTAGTTATTTAATGTAATCTGGCTTTGTATGATTACAAACTACCCGACGCAGTCCTCTATTGATGTTGTTGTGAGCGGTGTTGCGGAGAAAATCAGCGACGTAAAACGCTGTGTGGGTCATAAGAAGGCACGTAAACGGTTACGTCATGACGCAAACGATGACGTAATGACACAATAACTCACCTTTGAACCTAATTCACCTTTGAACCTGCATCTGTAACAATGAGTGGACCAAAGAAAAGAAAAGTCAACATTGAGTGCCGAGTGTTTAATGAGGAGTGGACAGCTAAATATTTTTTCACCGATCTGCTACTGGCCCGGCCCATCTGTCAAATTTTAAAACTCATAGTGGCCCCCGAGCCAAAAAGTTTGCCCACCCCTGCTTTAAATGCAATGTGATTGTTGTAAGTAATTGCAAGTTGCTGCTGTCCACAGTAGCGTCACAATAAGCCAAGACACTCAGCCAGCATCCACAATAATAGAAACCTAACTTACATGAATGAAATACAGTCACTTACATTTTTTGGGACAGGGGATTTCAGATCGTGTTGGACAATCTGACAAGCACATCAAGCAATTGAGGTATTTTTCCAAATATAAGCCACATATTGTAAAATCAGTCAATATCAAATCCTTGGTAAATACTGATTTTTCACTGTGGTTGGATTTTTGCAATAATAATAATACATTTTATTTCTATAGCGCTTTTCTTGAACCCAAAGACGCTTTACATTTGGGAGGGAGGACAAACAAAACAAAAAGAAACAAAGAAACTAAACAGAATAATAATAATGATAATATAATGACTTCCTTTCTTTCAAAAGTTTGTGACTGTATTCAATGTGGCTTTTTGTTATTACGACTGAAAGTATATTTGTTTGGTTCTGGCTTATTTATTACTTGTAATCGTATGTTGTATCATCTAGACTCCAGACTTACCAGCTTAAACTGCACACTGCATATCCAAGCAAAGGCCCATTTTCTATTAAACACATCTGAAAGGACGATTGTAGTCTGCTCCTGGTGCCCTTATTAAACAATTGATCCTGTTGGTGGTCTGAGCCTGGTTTCATTGCCAATAGCTCTCATTTTGTGGAATGCCTTGAGGCCACAGAACAGCACAAACTGCAGCAATACTAAACACATACGTTATAAAGCGGCAAATAAAAAAAGGGAGACAAAATGGACACTTGTTAAAGCACGATGGCCTTCGGTGGAAATGACCTGTGCATCACTTTTATTGACATCTAGGTTGTTTGCTGTTTAGTGGGCCTATGTCTTTGTTGTGTTGTTGTGGACAAGGACCATGCTTGGTATCTTTCATTTGGAATCAGCCTAACGTCCATGAATTCGTTGTTAGAAAACTAAAGACATACTTCTTTTTCCTTTAACAAGATGAGAATTAGACGTGCATGACTCCATGTACCCAAAAAGGTAGACGAACAAAGCATTCAAAGGACCTGTTTTGCATAAATGCTTGCTGTTGCCCCTGAACTCCATGAACAGGGAACATGCTATACTAAAATCACAGCTCTATATTATTAGAAAAGGTATGCATCACTTAGCACACCAGACGGCAAATAAAATATTGACTTTTCTTTAGAAAAGTCTAGAACGTAAAGCGGGAGTAAAGTGTGCAGTTATCTAAAGCAGTGGTTCCCAAACTTTTTGTGCCCAAGGCACACCAAAGGACAAGTAAACATCTCAAGGCACACCAAAGGACAATTAAAAAATCTCAAGGCACACCTATTGTGCAAAATAGCCCTTATAACACGTGTTATCACTCATATCATGTAAAATATCTGTAAATGTGCATAATTATTTACTAATGCCAAATAAAATGTGACAAAGACAACTATATTACTCGTGAAATATTTATTAACGAAATATTTCAGAAATTCATTTGAAACTTTATCAAATTAGGTTTCATCAAAGCAGCAACACACTCATTTAAACCAGACAGGTCACAACATTAAAAATGAGGCAAAGGAAATTCAGCACAGAGAACTGTCCATGCAAGGAAGCTGCATTGTCCATGGTCCTGAACTACAAATTATAAATGTAACATTTCAGCAATCGGCATTGAAACATGTGCTATTGTAAATATTTTGCCGACTTACAAATTAGTGAGATACATGTGCCTGTCGGGGCGCGCAGAATTTTTTAATCCTTGGTGGCACTGAGGAGAGGGCCACTCGCAAGTCCTGTTCAACAGAGAGCCGTGACCTCCTGTTGTTCTTCATGTAAATCAGAGTAGAGAACACCAACTCCAGAGATGGGGTCGCTACTAACATTTTTTAATATATTACATATTACTTTAAAAAAAATATATATATATTAAACTACTTCGTTACTATCTACATAAAGTAACTCGTTACTTTACTCGTTACTGGCCGAGCACATACGAACTGCGCATGCATGAGTGGCAATAACTGTCCTTACCAGCAGGCAGCGGTAGTGTGTATTTGTCATTCAAAACAGGCAACAACCGGAAGACAGAGAAGAAGAACAGACTACGTGATATAAACAAACAACAAATAGCGTGTGCGTTAGCTTCACCTTAGCATGTGTTCTTTGCAGGTGTTTGTTGAGGTTTGACGT